TTGTGGCAAATCTCATCAGAACCACAAGGCAAGGGTTCATGAGATCCCTGCATGTGAGCCCCTGGGGACGCAGAACAGGGTGGAGAATGCACCTGGGAAATTCGCAGGACATTGACCAAGTCAGTGATGGTGCAGTGGAAGGATATTAAAGGATTTAGGGGCTGGGTGTGGTGGCTCACACCTGTAATTCCAGCACTTTTGATGTCTAAGGCGAGTGGATCACTTGAGGCCAGGAGTTCGAGATCAGCCTAGCCAATGTGGTGAAACCCCGTCTCTACTAAAAATACAAAAAAATTAGCTGGGCACGTTGGCTTGTGCCTGTAATCCCAGCTACTAGGGAGGCTGAGGCAGGAGAACCACTTGAATCCAGGAGACAGAGGTTGCGAGAAGGTGGAGGTCACAGTGAGCTGAGGTCATACCACTGCCCTCCAGCCTGGGCAACAGAGCAAGACTCCGTCTCAAAACATAAAAAATATAAAGGATTTAGGGAACTGGTGATTTTAGGTCACTGAACAAAAAAGGACACCATTCTCTTAACATTTCTGCATATTTCTAGCATTTCCTTCCTTGGGATCTTTGTTTTCTTTGGTCTCTTGGCCTTAACTACCCACTTTATACGGAAGACCCCGTATAAACTGGTGTTTAGTACAGACCACTCCCTGAGCTCAGACCCGTGAGTCCAAGTATATATTAGTCTCTCTCTCTCTCTTTTTTTTTTTTTTCTTTTTATTTTGTTTTGTTTTGTTTTTTGAGACAGAGTCTCCCTCTGTCACCCAGGCTGGAGTGCGCTGGTGTGATCTCAGCTCACTGCAACCTCTGCCTCCCGGGTGCAAGTGATTCCTGCCTCAGCCTCCTGAGTAGCTGGGATCATAGGCACGTGCCACCACCATGCCCAGCTAATTTTTGTATTTTTAGTAGAGATGGTGTTTCACCATTTTGGTCAGGCTGATCTCAAACTCCTGACCTCATGATTCACCCACCTTAGCCTCCTAAGGTGCTGAGATTACAGGTGTGAGCCACCGTGTGTGCGCCCAGCCTTTTTTTTTTTTTTTTTTTTTTTTTTTTTTGAGATAGAATATCTGTCACCCAGGCTGGAATGCAGTGGCAACATCTTGGCTCACCATAACCTCTGGCTCCCAGTTCAAGCAATTCTCCTGCCTCAGCCTTCCCAGTAGCTGGGATTACAGAGATGCGTCACCACGCCTGGCTAATTTTTGTATTTTTAGTAGAGATGGGGTTTCGCCATGTTGGCCAGGCTGGTCTCAAACTCCTGACCTTTGGTGGTCTGCCCACCTCAGCATCACAAAGTGCTGGGATTACAGGAATGAGTCACCGCATCCAGCTAGTCTCTCTACTTGGGAGTCTGAAAGAAATATCAGCCTTAACACATCTGAAACTATGTGTGTGATCTTCCTTCCTCAGACGCACTTCTCTCAGTCTTCCGTCTCCTAAAGCTCAGACTGACAACTTCAGAGTCACACTGGGCTGCTCATTATTGCACATCTGATCCCATCTCCCAAAAAATCCTGGAGGTTTGGGTGATCAGAGGGCGCCCAGAACCTGACCCGTGTCATGACCTGCATTGCTCGCTACATATGACCTGTCCACGTTGCAGTCACTCCAGGATTGTGACAACAGCCTCCTACCATCTGAAATCTTCCCTTCACAACATCTGTACTTAGAGATACTCATAGACACTGGTTCATTCAGACAAAAAAGCCTACAAGTCCCTGTACGACTCCCTCTTTCTTCTGTGACCTCACGTGATGTATTCTGCCCAAGGCTCCTCCAGATCTAGCCCCCAGATAACACCACACCAGAGCCTGCTTCAGGGCCTTTGCAGGTGGCAAGGAGGGAAATTTATCTTTAGATTGAAAATAATCCAATATTGAAAACATCCATGCACTCAAAACACACAAAACTCTTACTCAAGTGTTGGTAGCAGCATTTTTCTTTTTTTTTTCCTCGAGGCGGGGGGTGTTGTTCCGTCACCCAGGCTGGAGTGTGGCGGCATGATCCCGGCTTACTGCAACCTCTGCCCCCCAGGTTTTAAGCAGTTCTCCTGCCTCAGCCTCTGGAGTAGCTGGGATTACAGGTGCTCGCCACCACACCCGGCTAATTTTTGTATTTTTAGTAGAGACGAGGTTTCACCATTTTGGCCAGGCTGGTCTCAAACTCCTAACCTCGTGATCCACCCGCCTCGGCTTCCCAAAGTGCTGGGATTACAGACGTGAGCCACCGTGCTCGGCAGCATTTTTCATGATAGCCCACACCTGGAAACAACCCAAATGTCTATCAGTTGTTGAATGGATAAACAAAATGTGGGATAGCCACATCATGGAATCATCATTTGGCAACAAAAAGGAATGAAGTACTGATACATGTGACAATGTGGACCCTGAAATCATGCTAAGTGGACATTAGGAGATAATGGACACATCCCAGTCACCAGAAGCCTCCGACCGCATTTCCATTTATAGGAAACATCCAGAATAAACAAATCCAGAGACAGAAACAGACCGCCTCGGGCTGCGGAAGGTGGAGGGTAATGGCTAGGAGGTACAAGTTTCTTTTAGGGGTGATGAAAATATTCTAAAATTGGTTATGGTGATGGTTGTACGGTTTTGTGACTGCTAAAAACCATTGAATTGCTCGGTTTAAATGAGTAACTCATAATATTTGAATCACATCTCAAAGCAGTTTAAAAAGATGATCGAAGTGATTGCTGTCTTAATAAAACATTCCTGTCATTTTTCCAAGTGGCATATATGTCTTCAAATTTTTATTTGTTTTGTTTTGTTTGTTGTTTCTGAGAAAGCGTCTGGCTCTGTCTTCCAGAGCTGGAGTGCAATGGCGCAATCTTGGCTCACTGCAACCCCCACCTCCCGGGTTCAGGCATTCTCCTGCCTCAGACTCCTGAGTAGCTGGGACTACAGGCGTGTGCCCCCACGCCCAGCTAATTTTTGTATTTCTAGTAGAGACGGGGTTTCACTGTGTCAGCCAGACTGGACTCGAATGCCTGACCTCAGATCTGCCTGCCTTGGCCTCCCAAAGTGCTGGAATTACAAGCGTGAGCCACCTTGCCCAGCCTATTTTATGTTTTTGAGATGGAGTCTCATTCTGTCACTCAGGCTGGAGTGTGGTGGCATGATTCCGGCTCACTGCAAGCCTCCACCTCCCAGGCTTGGGTGATACTCCCACCTCAGCCTCCCAAGTAACTGGGACTGTAGGCTTGGGCACTACCATAGCTGGCCAATCTTCAAATCTTATACAATTGTACCTAAAGCTGTAAAGGGAACTCTGTGACTCCTTTTTTTCCCCCCAAGTGAAACTTGTTTCATTTGTGGTGACTATTCTTGTTTTCATTTCCACATTAAACTTTTTATTCCCTTTTTCTTTTTTTTTCTTTTTTTTTTTTTTTT